TAGGATAACTACTCTGTATAAATCCACTTCTCATACAGAGGCATTATTGTGTAATGATTAAAAGTGGGCACTCTCCTGACACAATTTTAGCTCTGCTTTCTATCTGATAATCTTGGACAAGTTACTTAGCCTTTCCATTTCTTTCACTCTACCTATAAAATGGACATAATAAGACTCACCTTTCAAAACTGTTATAAGAAATAGGAGCTAAATTGCTGTGTTAGCTCTTTTTGTTGTAAATACACAAATGAATAAGGATCTTGTTGAAACTGTCTTATAGCTCAGAAACCTTTTGATTTTGTGCAACCATAGTCTGGCTTTTGAGATTTACTAGTTGCCTAGGTTTAAGAAATTGGGAAATTTACTGTTCTAATTATTCTGTTTCCCACAATTTTTTTATTACCTCATTCTTTTCTAGGAATTACACAGATGTAAAGGAATAAAGCCAGCCCTGTATAGACCTATGTTATTTAGTTGGTAGTTATCCTAAGCTAGAGTGAGAGAGTTATTTGCACATCTGCCTGGATGCATACACAACTGAGTGGTGTGAATAACTACCGTGTGCACCTACCATCAACCACAGCACCAAGTGCTTCTCTTCCTTATGCCAGTTCATTTATTATTCAGAATAACTTTTGAATCACTGTGGAAGCTCAAAAGAATGTTTGTAACTTGCTCTAGTTCTTACAGCCAATAAGTGATATAGTAGAATAAAAACTTAGGACTTTCCAAAACCTTACCATGAACTATATTCTTGCCTCCTCTCCCCCGGAAAGAATACACAGCTCTTTACAATACTGTTGACCACAGGTTGAAATGTATTGCTTACTACCAATTAAAAAAACAAAAACTTAACAGTTTTGTTTTAAATTCCATTGTTCTTGAATGGAATAAAAATGTCACAATTCAATACTTATTCTTGGAGATATCTCATGAAAAGATATAGCCAGCATCCGTATCTCCACATTTCCACCTCCCCCAAAGTCTTTGACCTCAACTTTCCTACTCATCTTGCGTAGATTTAAGGGCCATGCCATCCAATATGGAAGCCACTAGCTACACATAGCTCTTTAACTTTCAATTCATTAAATATTAAATTAAAAATTCAGTTCCTCAATTGAAATAGCCACATGTCAAGATCTCAGTAGCCACTTAGAGCAACCAGAATGAATCATTCTAGTGTGGAACACTTCAGTAGTGGCAGAAAGTCATGTTGAATAGTGTTTTTGAAAGAGGGTCCAATTGGCACATACACACTCTTTACCTCTTGGTCAGCGTGGGACCTGTTCTCCTAGTTGATACAATGTGGTACACAGAACAGGGTCTCAGCGAACACTGAGGCCTCCTCTGCCCTTTTGGAATGAAGCCTGAACTGACCAAGGTACGACCTAAGCCCGGGCTAGTTTATTGTTTCTCTGGGATCTGTCTGCCTCATGGTTGGGCTTCACCCCTGTCTTAACTAGGTGGGAAATGGGAGAGAGTAGAGAATCAAACCACAGAAG